TTTGCTCACAAAACTCCACAGCTTAGAGGGAACATTGGTGGTGGGCCCCCTGAGAAAAACATGGGCCCCCTGAGCAAAAGGTTGTTAGCTACGGGCCTGGCTCCACCCCCAAATCTCCAGGCGTTTCCCAACCCAGAGCGGACAACTCTAGGAGGGTGTTTGGCACATGCTCTGAAGCACACTCCAGCCACCCTGAAAAAGTCAGGTAAAACCCCAGTCTCACTTATGGCTGCCAGTTTTGAGCTGGGAAATACCTGGAGATTTGGGGGTGGGTGGGGTTTGGGGAGGGGCAAGACCTCATCAGGGGCCACAGTGCCACAGAGTCCACCCTTCAGAGCAGCCATTTTCTCCAGGGGAACTGAGCCCTATTGGCTGGAGATCAGTGGTGGAGGCTGGCGACCCTAGTCCCACGTGATCAAATGCATGGTATAGGGGTTATTCCGTGATTCAGAAAGCATGGCTGCTACCATTATAGGGTTGCCAACCTCCAGAGGGGTCGCCAGAGATCTCCTGTTATTGCAACTGATCTCAGGGGGAACAGAGATCAGTTCCCCTGGAGAAAAAGGCCTCTTTGGAAGTTGGACTCTGTGGCATTTTGCCCCCAAACCCGTGCCCCCTAAGGCTCTACCCCCAAAATCTCCTGGAAATTTTCCATCCCTCCATCCCGGAGCTGGACACTCTATACCAAGACGTGGCTGCTGTCCTCATTTCCATAATGTTTATTGGGACAAACTGTTTTCATGGCGACCTGCCTGTTTCTGTTTTGCGATCCTTAGGGTTAGGACCCATCTACCTGGGAGGCCTGGAGTCAGGTTCCCCAGTAAGAGTCATGTGGGGCAAACTGTGCTGAGGAACCATTTCCCAAGCAGAAATCAGACACACAGCTGTGTATGGGGGGTGGGGGGGAATTGACACAGCAGACAGTTTCAGACGACGTCGGTCTGCAGCAATGCTCCCTCTAAGCTGTGGAGTCCTGTGAGCAAAAATTCTACTTGGTGAGCGACTGGCATGAATGTTGTGAGCGAGCGATTCGGCTTCTGCATCGATTAGTGTGCTCTGGAGCCATCCTTCCAGAGCGAAGGCAAAAACGTGTGAGCTGGAGGTGAAAAAACTGTGAGCCAGCTCACACTCACTCAGCTTAGAGGGAACACTGGTCTGCAGTGGAACAGTTAGATTGTGGAGTCTAACTGCAGCACCTTAGAGACCCAACAAAAGTTTAATGGTATGAGCTTCTGAGGGTCAGAGTTCCCTCTCTCAGATACAGCAGGGGTGCCTAATCTTGCTGAGCCCCCCGTGGGCATTTCAGGAATTTTACAAACAGGGAGGAGACCTTGTCCCAAAATGGCTGCCATCGGGAGCTTGGGCCAATCACAAAACGTTAGAGTTTTCAAGCCAGTTTACAATGGAGATGGCTTCCCCCCCCCCATTGGTGCTTCTCACAGGCAAAGGAGATGCCTCCTGGGCCCCTTCCAAAGTACCTCCTTCTCCACTGTGTGGGAGGCCAGGATTGGCTCTGAGATTATGGGAAAGAAGCAGGAGGAAGGCCAGAATTGGCTCTGAGATTATGGGAAAGAAGCAAATGGGTGCCGGTCAATGTTCCCTCTAAGCTGAGTTAGTGTGAGCTACCTCACAGTTTGTTAGCCTCTGGCTCACACATTTTTGTCTTAGCTCAGGAGGGATGGCTCCAGAGCAAACTAATTTATACAGTAGCCAAATCACTTGCTCACAACTTTAATGCCAGTAGCTCAGAAAGTAGAATTTTTGCTCACAGGACTCCACAGCTTAGAGGGAACATTGGTGCCGGTAACATGGAGCCCACGGGCACCATGTTGGCAATCACTGCAGTGGACTCTAATGTCCCGCCCAATGGAGAGTTACCCTGCTCTGGATCAAAGAAATGGTAAAACTGTTGTGGAATAGGATGTCCTGAGACACCACAGGAGGTCCCAAGCTGTGGTGGTCAGTTCCTACTTGGTCTACCTCTGAATTGGGTCATGTTTTCTCGGATTTGCAAATGACTCCATGTCAGCAAACAGAACAAACGGCCAAAGCAGACATTCGGAACACATGCCCAAAGCAGTGGACTCTTTTTTGGAGAATCGGGTTTGATTCCCCACTACTCTATGTGCAGCCAGCTGGGTGACCTTGGGTCAGTCACAGGTCTCTCAGAACTCTCTCAGCCCCACCTACCTCACAGGACGTCTGTTGGGGGTAGGGAAGGAAGGGAAGGAGATTGTAAACCGCTCCGAGACTCTGAGTGAAGGTTAGGGTATAAATCCAACTCTCTTCCTCCTCCTTCTTTTTCTTCTGGTTCAGTGCCACAGAGTCCACCTTCCAACGTGGCCACTTTCTCTGGGTGAACTGATACCTGTCCCCTGGAGATCAGTTGTAATTCAAGGAGATCTCCAGCTCCCACCTGGAAGCCGGCGACCCTATCTAAGTACCACTTCCCTGAGCTCTGTCAAACGGACTGCTTGTCATTCTGCAGATTTTCTTTACTGAGCAATTTTAGGTTTGTAAAAATTAAAGCCAGAAGACAAAGGATCAAAAATTAAAATGTGGACCAAAAGAGACGGTGACGGAAAGCTGATCATTTGTTCCCAAAGGCACAGTTGAAGGGAAAACAAAAACAGGGATGCGGCCGAAGGACAATTCTGCAGAAGGGAAATCTGTCACTCAAAAAACCCAAACTCATCACTCCTATCCCAGAAGAACCTACATTCAGCAGAGGCCAATCTCACTTCCGCAACAAACAACCGGACACAAAGCAGAACTGGGTTAGAAAAACTGAGATTTCAATCCAGCCTGCTGTGCGATGAAATCCTCCACAAGATAACATAAAACCAAAAGCACTAAAGGCCTTAAAAAGCCAAACCAGAACATTCAAATTGGGCCCTTGATTTCCCTTATTTTGGGTCAGATGGTGACGTCTCCCCACCCCCTGTAGCGGATCAAGGAAAGACTCACCCGTATGGAGTAAACCAGGGCTGCAATTCCCAGAGGCACGCAACAACACAGCATGGTGAAGATGGAATATCCCAGGTAATCCGGTTCATGGGTGGGTTCTACAGGGACAATGACAGTGGTGTGCACTGGAGATTGGACAACAGATGCATAGCCGGGCACTGCACTGTATGGGGGGTAATAAGGCTGGTACTGAGTTGGCATGGTGGGGTATGCTGGCCCATGAGCAGGAGGTGACGGCTGATTGTAGGGCTGTTTCTCGGAGTAGGGTGGCGGGTTTGGGTCAGAAGGTGTACCTTCTTGGTTCTTCGGATGGTCCATAGTGAAAAGGTCTCCTTCTCAGCTCTGCAAGGGGATTCTCTGTGCTTGAAATGTTCTCACTGTCCTCCCCGAGTATTCCTTTCTCTGCTCCAGTTGTGACTTCAGTACCGTTCTCCCCTGCCCCTCGCCTTCTTCCTGTTACTCCCCGCAGAATGCTCGGTTACCTTCCCTTGGCTGCAGGTTGGTCTTCTTCGATCAGCTCTGCTCCTCTGCCCGCTACCTTCTTCTGTAGCCCTCTGGAGACTGGATGGAGAAACAAAGAAGAGGCAGCAAGTGGTTGGGCGAGGCATTGTGCAATGAACCCCCACCCCCCACGCCTAGACGAAAGGCACGAAAGTTCTGGGAAGATAGCTGAGATTGTCCTCTTGGCAGAGAACAGAAGTTCTGCTTTGTGTATTTTCCCCATGGGAACACGCTTAAGCTGTTTCATAACACAAGAGATTTTATGTTGCTTACGCAGAAGCATGCCATTTGGAAAGGCCAAAATGCTTTCCCCCGACACAGAGATTCCCATTTCCTGTTCCCCCAGCTAAAATACAGCCACGCTCTCACCCACCATTAACCACTTCCTAGCACACACAATTCACGGAACATTGTATAGCCGGGAAGCGGGCCCACTGCAGCAAAAGGGGGCAGTTCAGCAGAAGAGCCTCTGCTTGGCATACAGAAGGTCACGGGTTCAATCCCCAGCATCTCCAGTTAAAAGGGATAGCTGGAGGTGATGTGAAAGCCCAAGTCCCTGGAGAGCCGCTGCCAGTCTGAGTAGACAATACTGAGTCTGCCAGGGGTCGGATTCAGTATGAGCAGGGCTTTTTTTGTAGAAAAAGCCCAGCAGGAACTCATTAGCATAATAGGCCACACCCAACAGCAGAAATGCATTAGCATATTAGGCCACACCCCTGATAGCATAGCTTATTAGCATAGGCCACACCCCCACATTACCGGAAGTGTGGTCATTCAGCTACACCCACCTTTTGCTTCTTATTCTATTTACCTTGTTTGTTGTCAAAACCCAGGGCTTTTTTGTAGCAGGAACTCCTTTGCAAGTTAGGCCACACACCCCTAATGTAGCCAATCCTAATGAGTCTCTGCTGTTGGGTGTGGCCTATTATGCTAATGAGTTCCTGCTGGGCGTGGCCAACTCGGGAGCCAGCCGGAACTCCGTTCCTGTGCGTTCCTGCCCCAAAATAGCCCTGAGTATGAGGCAGCTTCATATTTGCAGCTTCAGGCGACTCAAGGGAAAAGATGTCTGGTCCCATGTGTTTTGTCTGTTTATGTGATACGTCTGTGGGAAACGAATAAAAATATATTAAGAAAGAAAAGCAAAGCAAGATGCAGGATTCTGGGACCAAGCAACGGGGGTTAAAATCCACTCCAGAAGTGTGGGATGTGCCAGGCAATGTTGTGTGCTGTCATTCCACTTTGCTGTCTGGATAGTTCTCAGGCGATTAGTCTGTTTTGAGTGTCCTCAGGTGGAACAACGATAACACTCATCCAGCGATGATCAACTTGGTCCTGTGTGAATATGTGTCTTACAGGGCTCTTTTTGTAGAAAAAGCCAAGCAGGAATTCATTAGCATAATAGGACACGCCCAACACCAGAAACCCATTAGCATATTAGGCCATACCCCTGCCAGCACACCTCATTAGCATATTAGGACACACCCCCATGTTACCAAAAGTGTGGTCATCCAGCCACACCCACCTTTTGCTTGTTATTCTGTTTACCTTGTTTGTTGTCAAAACCCAGGGCTTTTTTTGTAGCAGGAACTCCTTTGCCTGTTAGGCCACACATCCCTAATGTAGCCAATCCTAATGAGTTTCAGCTGTTGGGTGTGGCCTATTATGCTAATGAGTTCCTGCTGGGCATGGTCAACTTGGGAGCCAGCCAGAACTCCGTTCCTGTGCGTCCCTGCCCAAAAATAGCCCTGTGTGTCTAAAAGTCGTTATCGATCATTGGATTGCACAGAAGGAGTTTA